CACACACACACACACACACACACAGAGAGAGAGAGAGATGTATATGCATACATATATGCATACAAAATGAAGAAAAAATTAAATAGAAATGTGATCAAAAATTAAGTTGGAAAGCATGAAAATCGGTTAGGGATTGAGTATTTCAACAAGTAAGTTCAAAATGAAATTTATCATTTTTTTTTTATTATTATTGCAATTCCATTTGGGAGAGGTTATTTGGCAACCATACGGTCATGATAATTTGGCAATGTAAGAGTAATTAACTTAAACAACAAAGGTTAAAGGAGAAAGAATAGAGGAAAAGGAGAATAAAGCATTATAGGTTACTTTTGGAATGGAATACGAAAGAACGTTAATTTATAAGAAGAAAAGCTATAAGTCAATCTCATTTCGATCACTAATTTAAAGTGGGCAATTTTGGCGATGTGTTTGAATTAAGAAGATGAATATATAATTTCGGCATTTACATCAAAGTTATTTCAACATTCTTGTTAGCTTAAAATGAAATGGACGAACTTTGTGTAATTACAATTGTAATGGCATTGGTATTTCTTAAATTATTAGCAAAAAAGAAGGAAAACTAATTTGATCTCAATTTAATAAACGTTTCATTTATTAATAACCAAAAATTGTTGCAACTTATCAGCACATCATTAATAAATGATAAACATAATGATAATAAGCTTATAAATTTGATAATTTATATGAAAAGTCTCTGGAATAATAATTCGCTATTAAAATGTGAATTAATTTCGTTCCATCAGATTTTGATTTTATCGCATTTCAGTAAACGATATAAATAAGCAGAGAATATTTATGAAATATTTAGAGTTAAATACTACTTAATGTTTTTTGTTTTCCTAATGCTTTTAAAGTTTATATCAAGTTTAAATTTGTCACTCACACATACACATATATGGAGGAAACACATGCACATGGTAAGTTTCTTCTCAAGTATAAAATTAATATGAAGAAAAGAAGATAATAATAAAATTTAAAAGTATAAATTGTTAAAAAATAAGAATAGATACTAATGCATACTTTTTAGGTGATACATCACTTTCCAAACCTTTTTGTTCTCTTATATTCTCCCCATGTCTTATATGTTCATCATGATTTATAACATCCGATTGAGATCGATACCTTAAATTTCTTCTCGAATTATTTCATTGAAACAGTTTGAAGTGAAAAGACGAGAAGGAAAGTAATGAAAGTTAATGAATTAAAATTGTTGTCAATTTATTTTGATAAGAAGCTGACAAACAGATAGAATATACTGTTAAATATTTGGCGATTCTTTTTTATTATTTTTATTAATTCATTTGTTCATTCCATAACTATTTCTATAATAATTAAAGTAATTTTTTGAAATTGATAATGACGATAAAATTTTTTCTTTCAACATATGCCAGTAACAATGAAATAATGAAAGAATGGAGTTTCTAATCAATTCAGTTCTTTCCTCTTATCGAATAATGAATGGAAAACTTATACCTATCATTGGATTGAAAAGACGTATCACGTAATTGCTTATCGTCCACAGTTCCATTACTTACGCGTCTGTAACAAAAAGTCTACAGTTGTAAAAAGTTTTATAACTTTTCAAAATGGACCAAAAATAAAACCTAACAACTGCCAGTTTTAGATCTGATCAGATTTAATTAAAAAATTCATAGCATATCTGAAATTTAACAGATTTTGCTCGTCAAAATCTTGTCATCTAACAAATCAGCAACAGTAACTGCTGCCATTTTACTTAGGTAGAGGTCATAAAATATGACAAATAATGTAATACAGTTGAATTTGAAATTGAGATGAGCGAAATGATACCTTCGATTTTGATCATAAAATGATCTGTCAGACTGTTGTCGCAGCTTTTCAGGACTTTTAGTCCTATTCTTTGCATAATCATATTCAGCATTTGATTTATTTTGCATCGATCGATCGTTGGCATATTGAATTGATTTCGTTTGTTGTGATAATTTATAGTCTGATGGTGCAACTTGCTCGAAACTTTCAACGCTCATCGATCTATCCGCCGAACATTCTTCATCATTATTTTGCTTCAAATTATCATGCATATGAGCTGTTGCAGATCCGGCTGTACCATTTCGACGTTCTGTCTGAAGTTGAAATTATTATGAATTAGCATTACTTACTTCCGGATATTTTGTTTTAATTTCAATTTTTTTTTAGTAAAAGTTTTCAACAGTGAAATAATTTAGCAGTGAATGATAAACAATAATGTTGAAATAAATTGGAAAATTTACTTCAAGAGATGTTTGTCGTAAGAGTGTCGTTTGTCGTTTGATAGATGAATTTAACGGTTTTCGTATTGGTTTTGATCGTTCTTGTACGGGAATGGATTGTTTAGTGTCGGAAGTAACGGATGTTGGCGGTGTTTGTATGGTTGATCCCGGACTGACAGCTGTAGGATATGGTCCATTAGTTCGGCTTACCGTACTGACCTTACGACTCGTTGATTGTATTGATGTTCGTGATGCGGAATATGTCGGACTTTAAATCATTGCATTGGATATTTATAAATGTAAAATGAAATTTGTTTGATAGACAAATTTATATATTTATATTGAAATATTGAACTTGTTTTTCATACTCATAACATTAATAAAACATTACTATTGTAAGTCAAATTTAGTAATAGTTAAAAAATAATTTGTGTCATTCTTTTTTCTTTCCATTTTTCCTCTCTCTCTTCCTCTCTTTCTCTCTTTGTCTCTTTGTTCTGTAATTTTCCTTGAATGTTTTGTCGTTTGCTCAACTGATGAACGGAAATATGGGAAATTGGTTTAAAAATTGTGGGATGGAAAATTGGCTTAACAACTGTAAAATAGAAAATTAGCCTAACAAAATAATTCAAATATAATGTATGAAATGATTCATATAAAGAAATCACTTTTTAGGCCTATGAACGAAAAAAACATAAGAAAAAATAAATCTATTCGAAAGGGAAAGATTCTTTATGTCAATAAACTATGAAAGTAGTAGTTTGTGGGTTCATTTCATATTCGTATGTAAATCATAATTCTTAGTTTCCTTTTAATTATATATATATAGAAATTCCCAATTGGATTTTAGAATAAGTTCATTTAAGTTTTTTATATAAAAAAATTCCCCTCTCACAATAATTTGATTCAATAAATAACAATGCAAGCAAATGTTTGAGCTATAAAATTTTAATCAGCTAATTTGCAATTTGTAGAAAAAAATAATTTTGGAAAGAAAAAAATTGTTGGTTAAAAAAGAAATGAAGAGGGAAAAAGGAATAACTGATATTGACAGAATTAGCGATGAAAATGTCATTCGTTATTAATTTCATCCATTCCTAGCATAAATGAATTGTAAAAAATATCTCTACACATTTAATTCATTTATTTTCGAGTTTTTTTTTCAATATGTGACACAAAAATTTCACACTGAATGATTTTAAAGTATTTTTTCAATTACAAATTTAATCATGAATACGTTGGAATTATAAACTCTTATCGTAAGGTAAAAATTGATTATTTTGTTGATAAGCAATACTAATAAATAAAATTTTTAGCTCTGTTAGCTGGCCCGGGTAATTAGTGTTTCCATGTACTAATACAGGAGAAATAACCAACCTGTTATCTCCCGGGCTGGCAGTTCCTTTTGCTTCATCAGCCATTGCTGTTTGTTGAAACCATTTGCCAGTTTTTGCAAGAATTCGTTGTCTTTGCTGACATAAAGAGCATGCCCAAATTAGCTTAAAAAATGCAAATAATTAAAAAAAGAAAAAAAATTGGAATGTAAAAATTCTCGTCAACATGCAATATTGCGCATTTTATTGTTATAAAATTTTTTTGCCGAGCTAAAATTTTAAACAATTTAATGTGTGCAAAAAATAAAAGCAAAAAAAAATCTCGTGAGAGATAATATTTGACGTAATTGCTTTACGACAAATTTTTAAAATCTCAAATTCAAAATTTAATTCTAACCATTTTTAATGCTTTAGAGGAAATGTTTTTTCTATGGAATAAGTTTTTGGAAAACGCTTTTGTTTAATTGCAGGGTCAGGTATGTCAATATAACAATATAATATACGGAACAAGCTTTTTTGAATAATAAAAAATAGAAAAAAGAGCGAAAAAAACTAAATTACGAAAATTAAATTAATAACAGCCGTTAAATGAATGCTTGAAATTCAAAACTGATTTAAAATGGCTCTAAAAGTAGTAGTTAATAAACCGTTGTCTTTTAGTCACAGTTGTTGTTTATAAAAAAACTAGTTAAAAAAGGTAATTTTCGGTTAATTACCTTTTTTATAAAAATTTTTAAAAAACTTTAAAGTTTATAAAAAAAATATTAAAGTAAAAATAGATCATCAAACAACTATTTCAGTCTCTCAACGACAGATAAAATTAGGAAACTTCAAAATT